GCCTGGAGCAGCTTTGTGATGTCAGCCAACAGGAGGATTTAGCCTGGGTCACAGGAGAAAGTAAAAGTATGTGTACTCCTGTGACCCAGAGGAGAAGAATGACCAAAAAATCTCTTTTAATTCATCTGCTACTTCCTGGAACTGTAGCCAGACTCTGGGCAAGCCTCCTTGAACATGAGATGGGGATTTCCCAGAAGGCATTTGTGAGGCCCTGAGCCAGGGCATCAAATAACCAGGGAATGGAGAAACATTAATAATAAGTAAAATCAAAAAATGTTTCACTTGTGAATGTAAGATGATATCTTATCAGCATATACAGCTGCATGTTGATTTTTAATCAAAGGGGGAAAGGTCCATTTTAAGAATGTTATATTACCAGCTCCTTCAGAATCAGAAATAGATTTCAGCATTTTATTTGTCCTATATACGTTAACACAGTTTTTAAATGCATACAGTTTGCATGCTTTACATGAAGAACTACCCAAACATAACAAGCTAAAACAGAATAAGAGCAATGCAAGATTTGACATAAACAATGTTTCTATGCTTTATATTGGTATAAAATATATATTCTGTGTATCTTCACGCTGTACATAAAGATTTTTCCCCAGGTTACCAAAAATGATAATCTTCAAAAGTGTGTATGAATGGAACTGTATGCGTGCAGAGCCACTGATACACAGGGATAAAACAGAAAATGAACAGAGTGTTCTACCGTGTCAAAATCTTCAGATAAATCAAGTTAGATCAAAACAACAGAATATTCCAGGTAACAAGCAAAAGAAATGAAATTGTGAAGAGAAAGTGAAGTGGCTTCACTTGAGTGAGTCAAGAATCTACTAAAGATGACAGAAAAATGCTCAAATAACACATCTGACCTTAATTTATATAGTTAAGAATAATATAAAACCATGTTATTTCATTCATATGAATAAAGTGGTTATAAACAGATGTTCTGGTAAAGCTGTGATTTCAAGTTCTAGTAGTAATATGTATAAAAATGACAAATCATATAGGATGAAAAAAAAGGAAACATATTTTTTCTTTTAGAAAACATACTATGATCTTAATCATTGTTCAAATACCTTTCATATTCTCCTTTACTAAAAACAAATAACTATAATGAAGCCAGTTCTAGCCATGGTATGTTTTACTGTAATGCAGTCAGGTTGTACATACGATAAAAATATGCTCTTTATTCTGTTTTTTTTTTTACATACTAAGAGCTTCAGCAAGATTTAAAATACATTGTACAAGTAGCACCCTGAAGAGCTGGACTTCAGCTGACACATGCAATGCAGTGATCGGTGACTCCAGTGGTCCCACACTTCCCCAGAATGGTACTTCAATCAGTAACTCTGCACAAGGAATGTATCTGTAAAGGGTGGAGACCAGTGGCTGGAAATTTCAGGCTAGGCACAGTTCTGAAGAAGTGTGAAATATCTCCATCTTAGATTTTCCAGCTCAGAAGTGGAGAATCTGGGAAAGAAGCTGGAGTATTGTGTAGAAGAAGACTTTCTTCTTCCTATATATCAGCGTCAGAGGGTTAAAAATTAATATAAATTTTATATACACTGTTCAAAAAAAAAGTAAAGGAACACTTTTTAATCAGAGTATAGCATCAAGTCAATTAAACTCCTGAGATATTGATCTGGTCAGTTAAGTAGCAGAGGGGATTGTTAATCAGTTTCAGTCGCTTTGATCTTAATAAAATTAACAACAGCTTCATTAGATGGGCAACAATTTTATGACCCCCAAAACAGGAATGTTTTTACAGGTGGAGGCCACTGAAATTTTTTTTACCTATTTGTCTTTTCTGTCTGTTTTTCACTAGTTTTGCATTTGGCTAGGGTTAGTGTCACTACTGAAAGCATGAGGTGATACCTGGACTCCTACAGAGGTTGCACAGACAGTCCAACTCCTTCAGGATGGCACTTTAATACATGATATGTGCCATTTCCAGAAGGTTTGCTATGTCTTGCAGCACAGTATCATGAGCATGGAGGAGAATCCAGGAGACTGGCAGTTACTCTAGGAGAGTTGGACAGGGCCGTAAAAGGTCCTTAACCCATCAGCAGGACTTGTATCTGCTCCTTTGTGCAACAGGATGAGCACTGCCAGAGTCCTAGAAACTGACCTCCAGCAGGCCACTGGTGTGACTGTCCCTGACCAAACAATCAGAAACAGACTTCATGAGGGTGGCCTGAGAGTTCCACAGTATAGGAGAGGCTCTGGAGAAGTCCTGCAGATGAGCATGGAAAGAAGAGACAAGAGAACTAGAGAGCAGGAGGTCTTTGGAGGAGCAGAGAGGACGGTTAGGGTAATATTTTGAGACAAGCAGTAGGCAGGATTATGTAAAAGCACAATAATCTGGCAAACAAACTGGAAACAGGAAGAATAGCTGGCAAATGATCTGTTGCAGGTGAGATCAACTGCAACTGCAATACAGTAATGCAGAACTATGACAATTTCAATGGCAAAAGCAAAAACTGTGGTGCAAAAATTAAAATTATGCTTGGGTCCATGTGAGACTACAGTTCAAGACCTGGCAGACTCAGTTCCTGACAGAATGTGAGCACTATTGATTTAAGTATAGTGCAGGGGGAGTGTCAGCAAAAATGCTTCTATTGTGTCAAAAGGCAGAGCTGTTGAAAATAATTAGAATTTATTAAAGTGTATGCCAAGCCAAAACATTTAGGTTGATTTAGTGAAGGAGTAGAGAATCTTCACACAACAAATGTGAATATTTACCTAAATATTTAATCAAATATAAAGCAAATTCCTATTCAGTTTGAATACCCAGTTCAGATTAAATAAGTAAACAGGACTTTGATTATCACTGAATAGGGTTATCTAGATAGGATAGATTTCTTTTGTAAATCAGCCTCAACTTCTTTTTACTTTTGGATATAGTGGGGAAGGATTAGAATATCTCTTGGATTTTTAGTGGTATTGGAGGTGGATTTCCCCTACTTTGGATGTCCAAAGACATCGTTTTAACATGGACAGAAGGTGAGGGAAAGTTTTACCAGCAACACAGGGAGAAATAAAATGCTTTGCTGTAGAAGAGTAAAAGAAGCCTAAAACCCCTGTTAGCTTTTTTGCTGAATGTGTCATTGTTCTAGATTTATTTTCATTTCCTGTCTGGTAAAACTTTTGTCACCTTGCAAGTAAGTGAGGCTACAGCTTTTATATGGATCTTCCTACTTTCTGGACTTATCGTTTTAAAGAAATCTCACCATGAGTAGAAATTTAAAGTATAACCAAAATCAAAACTTTGTTTTATTTTGGAGATGAATTTGAATACCTGTCAGGTTTTTATTGCTACCCATGTCCCCATTAAGGAGATTCACCCTCCTTCTCTGTTTGCTGTGTTTACCGTTATTATTGAAAGTGAAAGTAAAAGAAAATCCCATATGTTTGGCTGTTCCAAAAACAGTAACAGAAGGGAAATCTTCAAATGGCTACACTTATTCTGGTGAATCAGTGAGGGGGGCCCCAATGGATTCCGTTAATTTGCATGGATGGATTTCCTATCACTTCCTGTTTTGGCTATGAGCCAGGAAGTGAAGGTAAATCTACCGAATGGGACACAGATGAAAAAACATATTGACAGGGGTTATAGCTCTCCCTTACTCTATTCAAAATAAAAAAAAAAGTGTTGCCTATAGATCTATTTTAAAGGCTTCGGTGATTCATGGAAAAAAACTTGCACTTCATTCGTGAATGAAGCCCAATTTGTGGGCATTTCCACAGTCATTCTTCTCCCCCACTACTAATCTCATTCTTCTCCTTTCCACCTCTACTGGCTTCTGTAGTCAGTACATTTACCTCCCACAGTCATTTCTCTACCCCACCTCCCACTGGCAATGTTGTACTACTCTCTTCCTCTTGTCCTTGCCCCTACATGAGTAGTGACTGCACTTTTCTTAGATGCACCTGCTGCCTTAGACAAACACTGTAGCTAAAAATGCATAAACTTGTTGTCTCCTTGTGAGCAGCATTGTCATCCATGTGAGCAGCATTGTCATACAGCTGCGGTCGAAGGTGGTATGCTGTCAACCATGCTAGCTCCGGATTTGGGCTACCTAGAAAGATGGTAAAAGGTACTACATGCACTTTGAGGCAGGAGTGACCAAGAAAAAGTTTGGAGAATATTTTATTTAGTTTATGAACCTGGGAAGCTTTCTCAATTTGATAATAAACCAAATAGATCTATTTTGTGCATATTTTTTGTTCCTTAAACTAGGAACATTGGGTACCAGGGGGTTGTGTCCCATCAATGACAGTTATAACATGCTGTAAATCTCTTGAGACATGAGGACCCCATAACATGGATTTTTTTCAACCAAATTATAGTAGCTTTTGTTATGTTAGTTTAGATATATACAAAACTTCATGTAGTTCTTTTTTAACCACTTCCAGACCGGACACTTTTACCCCCTTCCTGACCAGGGCAATTTTCAGCTTTTAGCGCTATCACACTTTGAATGACAATTGCGCGGTCATGCAACACTGTACCCAAATGAATTTTTTACCATTTTTTTTAGATAGATAAAGCTTTATTTTGCTGGTATTTATTCACCACTGGGATTTGTATTTTTTTTGCTATGTAAATGAAATGTCCAAAAATTTTTTAAAAAAGTGTTTTTTTAATAAAATTTTGCAAATAAATAATATTTCATCATAAATCTTAGCCAAAATGTATTCTGTTATCTTTTTAGTAAAAAAAAAAAAAATCCAAATTAGTTTATAAGCAAAAATTATAATTTTTAAACATTTTTTTTTACATTTTTATTTTATTTTTTTATATTATTATTTTTTATTTTTATTTTTTTTTTACATACTGTCACCCTAGCAGTACAGTGTCACCATGGTGACACTGTACTACTTGTGAGGGGTGATAAAGATTTTTTTTTTTTTTACACCCATATAGGATGTAAAATCAATCATTTCTCTTTCTCTCTGTGTGCATTCCTGCACTCATTGAGAAATACAGAGTGAGCTGTGATTGGTCACAGCTTGTCACATGGTACAAGGCTTTTGTGAATAGCCTTGTACCATGTGACCTCTGTGATCATTCACAGATTTCACACGTAGTAAGCAATGATGTCAGAAGTGACATCTTGCTTACTACTTTGCATGTGATCACTGATTGGCCAATCAGTGATCACATGATCGGGACCTCGTACAGAGGTCCCGTCCGACGATCGGTGTTTCACTGTGTCCGGAGGACACAGCGGGCACCGGATCGCGGTGCTGCGCGCTCCCAACCCGACCCTGCAGTGCCACCGTCCGGCCGTTTATATACAACGGCCGGTCGGGAACTGGTTAACTGTATCATTGTAGTTTATAGAAGATGCTTGAAAATCCTGTTTTCTAGAACAAGACAGTAATGACATTCATCAAAAAAAGCACTAGATGCAAAGTTCAGAAACACATACCAACAAGCCAAAATTAATTTAAAAAATCCTTAGTTAAGATTTAATTCTGATTACCACACTGTTAATGTTGATGAGAAATGTACTTAGCACTTTTCATGATTGTCCTGATTTGAACAGTTTTTTGATGGGGGTTTAAAGGATAGGTGAATTTCAGCATAAACATTTACAGTATATCGGCCTGTCCTTGCAGTCTAGTTTTAAAAAAATCTCACTCAGGAACATTACCTGCTTTGAAAACAAACCATGGATTTTATACACTTTAGCTTGCATCCTACTAGCTGTATGTTTGTATCTTGATCACCTTGTGCAGCAGATGTTCCCAGACATAAAGAAAGGGTTTTGTTGGCAAACAGCCTATGATACACCTAAATAATCTTCTTACCTAGAACAAGATGGAAGTGGCTTAAGCACCTTGTGTCCAAAAAGTGTTGGGGATTTAACAGTTCTGTCTTTAAACATGTAATAAATATGTACAATGTAAAACATATTTTTGTGCAATCCAGCTGTGCTGTGTGACTACCAATGTGACAGTACATGTAAAACAAAATTTGTATTTGCTGTTTTGACCTCATGGCATTTTCAGCACTTTCCTAGTGGATACACGTAGGATGATTTCAAGCACTGCTCCAAAGGAAATGTTTACAAAGGACCATTTCCAAAGAGAAGAAATTATATATTTTTTTATTTTACAAGTGAACCATTAAATATTGCTCTGATTTGTCAGAAAACCCTTACTTTCTTTTTAGAATCAACATTTTCTATGGGACACTATACTACAAAATACTCCCACAAATGCGGGCCATTGATTGCAAACAAGATTTGTTAATTTCCACACACAAAAAAGTATATTTCCTAACAAATTCACTCAAAAACATGTTGCAAAAATAAATACACCCCAATGAAAGTCTAAGGAGCAAAGCTAAATTTTAGACAACAAAATCCTAATTAACAAGACCTCTACTACAGGTGAGTCTAATTATTCATCAAACAGGTGTCCAGTAGATTGATTATAAAAGGGCAAAGGTGAGGAGTACAAAGAAAAAATGCATGCTGCCTACAGTGAAACATGGTGGTTGCAGTGTCTTTCTGTGAGGCTGCATGACTGCTACAGGTGTCGGGGAGCTGCATTTCATTGATGGTGTCATGAATTCACAGATGTACTGTGAATGTGATGTACTATAGAAAGAGAAGATGCTACCATCACTCCATGCCCTTGGTTGTTGTGCACTTTTCCAACATGACAATAATCCAAAACACACAGCTAAGACCACTGTTGCATTTCTGAAGAAGAACAGGGTGAAAGTGATTCAGTGGCCAAATATGTCTCCTGATCGGAACCCAATCGAACACCTATGGGGAATTCTGAAGAGACAAGTTGAGCATCACTCTCCATCCAGCATCCAGGCTTGAAAAAAGGTAATTCTTGAAGAATAGAAAAAGATCGATGTTGCAGTATGTCACCAACTTGTTCATTCCATGCCTAGAAGACTTGGTGCTGTCCTTACAAATCATGGAGGTCATAAAAAAATTTAGATTTAGAAGTTTTTGTTGTAGGATGTATTCATTTTTGCATCAACTAATTTGAGTTAAACTGAAGATTTTGTAATCTAAGTTATATTGTCAACCTTACTTTTATGTAATGAGCTTAACAAATGTTCTATAAAACTCAGTTTTGTCACAATTTTGGAATTGTTCTTGTGTTCATTGAGATATTGATTAAAATCTTACTCTTCAAAAGGGGTGTACTCATGTATGCTGAGCACTGTATATCTAGAAATGGTAGTTATGGCAAATCAATATCTTGAAAGATCTAACTTTTGCACTGAATTTCTCTCAAGAGGAAGCAATACACTTCCTGACAATGATTATGTCTTTAACTGCCTAACCATACATGGAAAAACCTCTGTATTAATTACTAGGTCTCCATGCCACCAGGAGCTCCCCTCAGCTCAGCTACTGATTGGCTGACAAAAATAATTACATCAACATAACTATTACAGTTGCTTAGGTGCAGGAGCAACAAGCATGCACTGGAGAGGTGAAGAGGTCTGGGTTGTGCTCTCCTCTCCTCTCCTCCAGCTCCCCTAAGCACATACATCCTGATACAACAGCTGCCAGACCAGAGGTACAGAATAAAAGAAAAATTTTGAAAATATTCAACATGTAACTAGAGAAGGACCCTAGGGCCTAGTGAATATTCTCAGGGGGTCCAAGTTCAACCTTTGTGCTCCTTTGGTAACCTAGTGGGATAGCGCAATTGGCCATGAATCTGCACCCACTTGTTAAATTACAAAGAAGGATGCACTTGTGGGCAGTTGATGACTGAAGGGGGTTGGTTATGCTAGTACAAATGAGGCAAATGAGTCGGTTTATCTGTGTATATAACAAAATCCTTATCAATGTTAATTGAAGAGATGAGGGTGGCCAAATCTTCAACTTTGCCCAACCTTGTCCAGTGCTGTCTTAATCTCTCTCTGAATTTAGCATCTGGTGCTTTAACACCCATTAGGCAGATCCATTGAGATAATTGACCAATACACACAACCTATGTCTTATTCATTTTCAGTGCAACTGTGCTATGGAAAAAGCCAGCAATATTGCTTGAAACAGTACTTATTTTCAGTGAAGGCAATTTATTCATATTGGCATTTTCAGAGGCTGCAGGGACAAGAACAACTGTATAAATTTTAATGAAAGTGTAATTATACTTCAAGAAAAGTAAATACATGAGAAACATTTAGGATGATCAATTAGTTGCTTAGCCAATTAGTACCAAATTTACTAGAAAAGTGAAGTCTTGATTAAATCCAGTGATGATGTTAGTAAAACTTTAACTATGGTGAATGCTTTAAAATATTATTTAACCATTTCAAGTCCAGACACTTTCACCCCCTTCCTGTCCAGCCAATTTTCAGCTTTCAGTGCTATCACATTTTGAATGACAATTGCGCAGTCATGCACCACTGCACCCATAAGAATTTTTTTGCATTTTTTTGGTGTTGGTGGTATTTATTCACCACTGGGATTTTTATTTTTTTTTGCTATATAAATAAAATGTGTTTTTTCTTATACAATTTTGCAAATAAATAATCTTTCTTCATAAATCTTGGCCACAATTTATTCAGTTATCTTTTTAGTAAAAAAAAAATAACCCAAATTAGTTTATAACCAAAAATTATACATTTTTGCATTTTTTTTACATTTTTATTTTTTTTTTATATTATTATTATTTATGTTTTTTTTTACATACCGTCACCCTAGCAGTACTGTGTTACCATAGTGACACTGTACTATTTGTGGGGGATGATAAAGATTTTTTTTTTTTACACTGATTGCTTTTACACATAAAGGCTGTAAAAGCAATCATTTCTCCTCTCTGACTGCATTCTTGCATCCATTGAGAAATATTTTGAGTTGTGATTGGTCACAGCTTGTCGCATGGTACAAAGCTATTGTGAATAGTCTTGCACTATGTGACCTCTGTGATCATTTACAGATTTCACGTAGCAAGCAATGACGTCAGAAGTGACATCTTGCTTACTACTCTTCGTGTGATCACTTTTTGGCCAATCAGTGATCACGTGACGGGACCTCACACAGAGGTCCCGTACAACGATCGGTGATCGGTGTGACACAGCGGGCCCCAGATTGCAGTGCTGCATGCTCCCAGGGAGCGCGCACAAGCTGGGAGGACAGTTATAAATGGCCACCCGCCCTTGCACTGCTGCTTCCCGTTTGGCCCATGCATATAAGCTGCCGGATGGGAAGTGGTTAATATGAATAGGGTGAAATGGGCCTCTAAAATTGCAAGTGTAAAATGATTTTGTAATATCAGCTCAACTACTTGCATTTAAAATGAAAATAATATTACACATTTATCAGCCACCTCTGTGAAATATTGTTTATTTAGCTCAGCATGCCTCATTGTCAGCTGAGGCACTTCACGTGTGGAATGTGTATTTTTACCTAGATTGTTTAATTAACATACAGGGACTGTCTTTATGGATGTCACTGCATTGCTCTCTGGCATTAGTTAAAAGTTAATCAACAATATACATACTGTGCATAATAAAAGCTATTACTGAGAAAATCAGTAGGAGATTATTTCAGTAAGAAATTAGATGTTGCAAAAGCAAAGAAAATACAAAATAATGTTAATGGTTGCAGAATAGCATTGAAATAATAACAACAATGCTTTAGGCAATGAAACTAAAACAGGATCTGATTGTCCCTTTAAATTATCTGCACTGTATCTAATGTATTCTCTGTGGCATATAGGAAAAATAATAGGGAATTTAATGATATAGTGCTAAAGCTAAAATGCCAGCTCTTGACAAAAAAATTATTTTTAAGCCATATCACATGTAATACCTTTCTTTGAATTTTGTTGATGGCTTGAGATATATAGCTGCCAACTTAGAGATTATACTACATTATGTATCATTTTATATGCTTCTGCACAAGAGAAACACATTGTTTTAAAATGTAAAAAATAGACATTAGAAGAAAGGAGCAGATAACAGATAAAAGAACAAAGTAAAAGAAAACTGTGTTTAGTGTGACAAGTTTAACAGGAAATGGAAGAGTGAAACTGTCGATGGCTTAGTCTTTCAGTATTATACAACCATATCTTTTTACTGAGACTTGAAAGAAACATTCTGGGTTATTCTAATTAGCACATTAGCACACATATTGGGGGTGATTTATTAAGGAATTTGTGATACATCTCTGGTGGGGTGTATGAATTTGGAAGCCTTGGGCATGAGGTGATTGTAGCCGTATTAGTGCATTTGCGACAGAAACAATTGAGTACTGTCCGTGATACTTTTTTTATTTGCACTAACATACAAGCTTTCGGGGAGTGTCCCCTTCTTCAAAGTCCAAGCAGTACTATACAAATCACAAAGTTTCAGCAAAATGTTAGAAGGGATGAAAAAAAAAAAAAGAGGCTAGAGATAAGATACAGCAAAAGCGAGGGGGGAATACAACACTCACACAGAGGGAGTCAAGCTTGAGCTGATAGTCATAACACTGATGGATAATGATTGAGGAATCCCATGTCCCAATTAAGGCCGTTATCTCCTGTGTCAAATAGAATTATCATTCTTAGTTCAAAAGTTTTTCTTTCCTGAATGGATTTGTAATTTCCTTTAAGAACTAAAATATTGAGGTCTCCCATTGTGTGGCCTGGTTGTGCAAAAATGGTGTCCCACAGGTGTGCAGAGGTCATCTTCTTTATGTTCCCTGATGGTATGTCTGTGCAAATTCATCCTTGTTTGCAACTTCTGTCCTGTTTCGCCAACATAAGATCCTTTGCTGCATTTTCTGTGCTGGATAAGGTACACAACATTACTGGAGGTGCAGCTGTATGATCTGGAGATATTGAAGATCCCTTTTGAGTGTCTGACACTTTTTGATGGATTGATTTGGTTGCACAGTTTGCAGCATTTTCTATTGCAGGGTGTGCTTCCATTATTTGTGACATCTTGATCAGAAGGAAGTTTCCTACTGATAATAACCTGAAATAACTGAAATAAACTAATCAGTAGGAAACTTCCTTCTGATCAAGATGTCACAAATACTGTAATCAGGCTATTCTGTATTATAGAGTTCTGTAATTCCAAAGGTGATTGAAATGTTGCCAGTTCAGCAGGGACTGGATATATTTCAACCTATGGATGGCCACTGTGGCTGCGCAAAAGTCAATCTAACCGACAATCTTCTATGCAACTGCCCTGTTAAATAAAAACCAGTGGCTGCAGTGTTAATCTGTGTATTCTGACAATGGGAGAGTTTCCCCATAGTCAGGATACAAGAGTGCAATGTGGAGGATTCCACCATCCACCCTGAATGTGTTGAGAAGGGAATCGGTTTGGTTTTTTCATTCAACCTGCTGGCCATGTATGGCCAGGTTAACACACTGGAAGTTTTTTGACTGGAGAAGTCATCTTCCTATAGGTAACACTATCATGTGAATCATAATTTTGCATTTTGAAAAGGCTAGTAATACTTTACTGGGTGGGTCTACTAATATCCTCTTGATAAGGCCCAACCTTTATTTCAGCTAGCAAAAGGCATCATATGCTTCTGTACAAGCTAATTCTTGAAGATTATCTCCTGTGTACTTATTTTGACTTAAGCCTCATGTTTAAAGGGTAGATGTACGTTGACTTAAAAAAGCCTTAAGTTGCTATACTAAATTAGAATAAATCTTTGTGTCCTCCATAACATGATCACTACACCCTGACATTGGAGCCTGGTATTTAAAGATATTAGCAGGACTGCTGGTTTAATGTAGTGTCTTGATGGCATGAACAAGTAGCTGGGGCTGCCTTATGATAACCATTTTTCTCCTGCTGTCTGCATTATCCTCTCTAGGAAGTATAGAGGAAGTACTGTCAACAGCTGTAATCACTGGACCCAAGCCGCAAGTAGCAGAGTTCCTGTTAAAAGAGAGTACAAGTACTTATGGTGGCCATACACTAGATGAAAAATCATAAAAAATCCATCATTTGGACAGTTGCTTTTTTTGTCAAGTTAATGGGCACATATAGAAAATTGATTTTGACTATTTTGAGCCAAAAAATCTAAGAAAAAGGTTGGAAAATTTGTGCTGAATGGACAATGAATTGAAAGGTTTATGTGTTTTTTGCCTGTTAAAAATAAAACTGTTTGAAATCGCATATGTGACAAAACAAACATATCATTGAAGGATTTATCATTCAAAATTTGGTTATTACATGGCAATATCGTTTACTCTCACAATCAAGTATTCTGTATTCGAAAACGAGTTTGAACAATTTCGACTAGTACCGGTATATGGCCAGCATAACTCATATATGCTAAGGCAGTCCTACAGCAGGTTTTAGTGAATGCCTAGTTCCCTTTAATCCTTTAATGATGCAGATTTGTGAACATATACAATATGCAATATTCAGAAAATGTACAACACATTACTAGTGCATTTCTTTTATCAGATATTACATATTTTCAGTCATCCAGGACCTCCCAGATTCACACCCTTACTTGCAACATAAGGGATGTCTCAGAATGATTTTCCAAAACCACCAATAATCAGTTTAATAGAAAAGTATTACTTGGCTTCTCATCTAGAAATGTCAAGGTTATATGTGAGGTTGCTGTTTCTTCCTATATTTACATTTTGTAAGAGATATAGTTTCCAAATGAGGGAAAAAAATCACCTGATTATTCTCTTTCATTTAACAAACCCACTGTGCTAAATATATGGGAACAAGCTAGAGCAACTCATGAGAAACTAATTTGAAGATGGGAAGAGTTGATAATGAAATATTTGGCTTAAGACGGTTGATAGTAACAGTGTCTGATCTAAAGTATTTCTGGTACAAAATGTTAGACAGCCTAAGAAACGCAAACAGATTGGATCATGCAGGTTAACCTGAGCAGTCCTGAAATAATTACTGTCTTCTCTAGATCACACATCCCATTTCTCCTGGACTTGTCTGTGTGCATCAGGACCAGAGCCAGTTCACTAAATTGTATTGACATAGCTGTGCAGTTGTGTTACAATTACTAAATATTTATGTTCGAATGCATTAAAAAGGGCCCTTCTCTTTCAAAGGGTCGAAAATACTTGTTTAATGCAAGATTGGAAGAAAGATGACGGTTTTTAAAAATGAATTTATATCGAAATTTACTTATTTATGATAATAATAGTTGCTCTAATAGCAAACTAGTACACCAATTCACATTATTACACATATTATTATTTAACCACATGCCGCCCAGCCACTGTATAAATACGGTGGCAGGGCGGCACAGCTGGGCAAAACCACGTTTTAAAACGTGTGTTTTTGTAAACAGGTAGGGGGCGCGCACGCGAGGTGCGCCGCCGCCCTACCTGTCCCACCGATCACAGTCACGGATGTCAGTCGCCGGGTCAAAGCTGGTCGTTACCAGCTATGTCCCGCCGATCGGCGGCAATCGCTGACAGAGAGCTGCAGTAGCTGTGCTTTCTGTCAGTTCCCTGACAGCTCCAGGACAAGCTGATCGGGACAGGAGAGTTTCTCTCTCCCGATCAGCGGTGTCCCATGCAGTACACACCCCCACCCCCTAGTAAAACACTCCCCTCACACAGTTAACCCTTTCCCTGAAAAATAAACTTAACCCCTTCCTCCCCAGTGCCATTAGTACAGTGTCAGTGTTTTTTTTTTACGCTGATCACTGTATTGGTGTCACTGGGGATATCAGTGACATCAAGTCAGGACCCCCCAATGTCAGAATGTCCGCCGCAGTCCCGCCATAAGTCGCTGATCGCCGCCATAAGTCACTGATCGCCGCCATGATCACTGATCGCCGCCATAAGTCGCTGATTGCCGCCATTATTAGTATAAAAAAAAACTAAAAATCCCAGTATCTTTCCCGCCATTTGTAAACGCTATAACTTTCACGTAAACCAATTAATTTACACGTATTGGGGTTTTTTTTTAGCAAAGACATGTCGCAGAATGCATTTTGGCAGAAATTTATGACTAAATTTGATTTTTTAATTTTTTTTTACTGGACATGTTTTATAGCAAAAAGTCCAAAATATTGTTTTTTTTCCTCAAAATTGTCAGCCTTTTTTTTTATAGCTCAAAGAATAAAAACCGCACAGACGATCAAATACCACCGAAAGAAAGCTCAATTTGTGGGAAAAAAAAGGATGTAAATTTCATTTATG